ATGCTGTCTGTCACTCCTGCAGAAGAAAAAAGTTTTGACACTATATTATTTTTTCAAGGCCTTGTGCTTCGTTATCGCGTTAGAGCAATTTTTCTCTTAGTTTCTCCTGTTCTATGCGCCCTTATAATGTGCGTCTTCATAAAAGCTTCAGAAGGGTTTTGTGTGAGTCGACGCAGTGGTCAACCCATTAGTGATCACGGCGTCCATGGTGGTCTCAGGCCTTTCACGAACATATGCATGGCTTTTGATGCACGCGCTCCAATTTTGCCTCAAAATTCGCCTGTTGAAATCTGCATTCACGATTTGAATGTTGATGCAACTTGCTCCAGTGTCAACTGTCAACAGGTGAACGTACCAGAAAAGCAACAGCGTCAACATTTCGAGACAGGAGCTTTACTATACGGATAATAATCTAATGCCTCTGTGCCTGCTAATAACTTAGTTTTGACGTTCTGGGAACCGAGACTTTTTTTTTGGTGGGAAAGTCACTTCCCTAGACGTTCAGTGGTCAGTCGGCAATTTAATTGTTGACGACGTCAATGATGTAGTTTGTTTTGAGAAAAGCGATATTAGTGCGCTGTAACGGCGGAAACAAAATTACATTCACACTCGATTTGTATTGCTCGCTCGCCTAGGGTCTGTGGATAGCTCCACACCAAATTTTTAGATATCGATATCGTTTGAAAGCATAAACTTTGGCAATTCTGAAACTGGGTTTGAGTTGGAAAAGGTCTTTAGAGGGTGCTGTAAGAGTGAAGAAATTTTCGTTTCATCCTCGGAGTTTTCCTCGCAAATAAAGGCTATATATGTACCAAAAGTCCATGAGCATATGGAGAAAATTGTGTCGTACAGAGTCTTCAAAGAAATTCGAAAACTTTTTTGAGGCCGAGAAGAAATTTTTATTTGAATAACGAAAACGCGCTGTGTGCAGCGATTTCAACTTCGCCCTGAAAGGGCGGCGACTTTCCTTATTTGTTTAGAAAATCTCTAAGCATCAAAAAAATTTTCGTAATTCCTCATAATTGTAGAAGAAACCTTATTCTACCGTTCTATAGATCTCAGCTCTTTATTTCCACTTCATATTACCAAATGAGTCCGATGTGAAGTTCAAGCAACAGGCTAATTAGTTCGAGTGAGAACATTTTTTTTTGCTCTTACAGCATCCTGCAGGGACGTTCACAGCTTCCAAGAAAAAGTGTGGAACGTAATTATTCTAGAGCATTGAAAGGTTTCCATAGAAACTAAGGCAGTGTCAGAATCGCTATTCCTCAAACTAGCAAATTAGTGATAAAACTGTAGCGAAATTTTGTCTAGCCAAGCAAAGCCAAGCTAACACAAATAAAAAACACCAAAATACACTAATTTTGATTATCACTAAAACTTAATTCTTTCTTCGTTGCGATAGCGCATTGAAGAGAGCGTTTTCACAGCCTAAGCTCAGTGTTAGACTAGCAATTTTTCGGCTATCGAACAATTATTGAGTCTAGTGAAAAATCTGTGCCCGACGAGAAACGAAAAGGCTAATGTATATTTTCCTACAGTTGGATTTGATCCTAAAAAAAAGACGATTCCTTTATCATATGCTACACACAAGAGGAGATGGATAAATGCTTCGAAATTCTGAACGGACAGTCAGAGTTTATTAAGTCGACGCGAGAACAACAACTTTCAGAGAGCTGGTTTCCCTTCATGAAAGTTCAAGTGCAACTTAATGAAAATGGCTACAACACAAAATGGTATCGCATGCCTAGTAACAAAAACATCTTGGTACATTACTTTTCTTCTCATCCCTCACATACTAAAAAAGCACTTATCCGAGATATGTATCAAACAGCTGTAAGTGTTTGTACGGGAGACGATGAAAGAAGGGAATCACTAGACTTAGCGGGAAAAATAGCCATTTCTAATGGGTACAAAGAAAGAACAACAACTAACGCTAGGCCCAGAAGGAGCGAAAAGCCTCGCAATGGGAACGACAGGGCGCCACACCTAAGCAATAGAGTACATCTTATACTATCTTTCATAACAGACGAACTCAGTACCGCTATTAGAAAGTGTCTAACAAAAAGTGGTCTAAAAGAATCTGCAGGAATTGTAGAAATTTCTCCTAAACCTGCGTCGTCTAGGTACAATACACTTTTCTTTTGTAAGACATGTGGTGGCAAATATATTGGCGAAACAAGCATACCACTTCATACTTGCATTAAAGAACACCTAGACGGCAAAACAAATAAAGACTCAAGTAAACCTTTAGGTATACACAGGATGCAAAGGCACAACGATGACGACTTCGAGGTAGTAGTCAAAATCCTAGGGCACGAATCAAATACGGCGGCGTGAAAACTCTTGAAGCTTTCTGAATAAATTCCAGAAACCCGCAAATGAACAAAAAGGGAGAGTGCCTTAACATAACCAACGATATGGCACCTTATCTCATATTGATTTTCTAGCATGGTTCTCAGCTGACACCTATACATAATTTGACTTAGTGACATGGGAGCGGGTTCATACGTCACCCTGGCGCTAACAACATAGGTAGTCCCTAGACTAGATTGATTGCACGGTGAGTGATTTTCCCAGAATAATCTACCGCTTATCAACACCCTAGATTTTCAATTTATTTTTCTTTTTTTTCTCACAGTATATAGTCATATAAATAAAGCTACAACGAATAATACGTTCAGGCTCTAAAGAAGGAGTATTTGCCGAAACGTCAGCCACAAGCAATCGCGAAAACCCATCAACCGGAAAGAAGATTGGGAAAATGATATCAACCTCGTAAAGCTTTAGATCAAGATTAGTTTTCTAAGATCCTCAGAGAGTTTTTTCAATGACTCGAAAGAACTGTGCTATGACGTTCTCAGGTTGTTAGTGGAGGCCAATTATCTTGCCTCTTATCACATACACGACTCACTTTCATCTCTAACGAATGTGCGTTCTATTCCACATACTTATTCTGCATCATTATTCTATTTCAAATTCTATAAACTTGTTTGAATACTATATGAATCACTACTTAACATGCCTGTGTGAGATGTTCGGCATTAATTATGACCCTCGATTGATGCATTGACCCTCATGGATGCAACGTGCACGCGATTTCATCAAGCATCGTAGAAGTGACTTGTTGTATATTTGGCCTATACAGTGACTTGTAGTGCCCTACAGATGTGTCAGATTAGTGACTTCAGCTAGCAGACAATAATAATAGCAATTTGCCAAATCAAAGAGGATTGGACGCTTGGGATACCCAAAAGCAAGATCGAACTGACAACCACGGTGAAAACTACTGTAAGAACTATAATATACCATGACGAACGAATAGATAGCACTAATGAGTAGGAGAAAAAAACAAAGCTCTCGACGTTTATGAATCTTTGAGGGATGTGCCATGAATCATCTTTAGTTTTTGCTCCGTTTGAGGTGATTGCAGGCATGTTTGGTCTTTACAGTGACTCGCGGTGGGCTCCCGCTGCATCACATCACTGTTGCTTATCCTCCCAGACAAGTCTGAGACCACTCTGGTACCAGTCTACCGACCCCGGAGGATGGAGGGGCATGATGAGCCTTGAGCGCGGGACCGAACCATCGACCTTGTGTGTGACGCAGAGCACCACTAGCCACAGTGCCAGATGCGCTCCTGAGTATACTATACAAGTGCAAACTATAAAGCATATAAAGTAAATACTATAAAACTAGATCCAGATGACTTTCGAGCAAAATAAGAAGTGCTGAGACGATGAAGCTGCACAATATAAATAGAGAAAAGTGAGCTAGGAAAAAGTAATCGCATATGAATGGTAAAATGCGAGAAAAGCACAGAAGGAAGAAAGAATCTTAGAAACGTATTAGATTATATGAACACAACTTTCTGCACATGTCATCCTTAAGGCGAAATGTGAAATTCTCCTCATTAGTTTTGAAAGAAAACAAAACCAAAAGTGAGAAATGCGCTCACATTCGCTGTTTTTTGAGGCCTTCTCCAGAACATTATAATCTGACAATATATTTTGAGCCTTTCATGAGGTCTATTATGGCACTGATAAAGTGTTCGACACGTGTTTCGGCTTTTCTACCTCATCAGTAGCACGATGCCTTTTGGTTAAGTCAGTTTCATTCAAGGAGATATACCCCCCACGTATATAGGAATCGACGCCGAGTTATTTACATATACCGTGAGGTGAAAAGGTCACTCAACATTCAGTGGTTTTTGTACTCTCAAGCTTTGAGTAAGACTTCAAAAACAGCTGAATATGAATTTAGTATTCAATTTACTAACCATGAACAGTCGACAGTGAAAAAACACTGAGCGTCGGGCAGTCTTTTCACTTTGCTGCAATTTTACATAATTCATGTTGATTTAGTTACATGAAGGGGTTATCCGCTTGAAAGGAACTAACTGAACCGAAAAGCACCGTGCTAATGATGAGGTTGAAAAACCGAAACACGTATCCAGCACTTTCTGAATGCCATAACAGACCCCATGAAGGGCTCAAGATATGTTATCAGATTTAAAGCAAGTTCATCAAAAGTATGAATTGCTAATATCTTCATGATGCTGAGCACTTCATACACTCTACGTTACTTCACTTCCGTCATCCACAAAGGTGCTCGAACTCTTGCCTGTCGTTTCGAATGCTGCTCGAGAAATCTTACCTACTCTAAGAATATTGTCTCGTCTAGTAGATGTTATAATGACATAGCCTGCTATATTATTTCCACGCAGATCGAAGAGAGTGAGTTGGTTACAAACAAAACTGATACAAAATCTCCACTGCGGGAAGATGGAACGTCAGCTGAACTGAGAATGTGACCGATCGAGGATATGAATATATTGGGCCTTCCGCCTAATATAAGGTATTTGTACCATTTCGCCACCAGCGCTGAGATGCAATATTTATCAGTTCCATGTGCTGGAAACATGTAGATTTTTACTGCATTTTTCGCAGTATTGATATGTTTCATATATACCTGCGAGAATTAAGGATGAGCAAAAATACAACCTCAAACGGGAGTCGAACCCGCGTTTTCATCCATACCTGGGACGCGTGGTACTACCACTACACCAACGAGGCACATTTGCACCACCACTCATTCTTCAACATCTCTATGTTAGCTATCAGCCACCAACCTTTAACAGGTTTGCTCGGGTATGCGATTTCGCTTTATAAACTCAGCTGAGCCCACAGCCATCGTAATAACTATTACTCGAAAGTTCTAGAATTTTTACTTCATTTTTCGCAGTGTTTTTGCTCATCACTCAACTCTCTTAGGTATATATGTAGTATAGTGGTTAGAGGGACACACACTTGTATTTGCAGTACACACTTGGGTCGTCCGCTCAACCTCGCAACCAGGTCAAACAAAGCTCTCCGTGTCCTTGGAGTCGATAAATTGGTCTGACTTGTCGGAGACAATAAATAAGCTTGACTCGCTAGATTAGCCGCAAGTATGGAACGGATCTTCATTAAACCACCTATAGTATGCTGAATGGACTTCAATGCATACGTACCCCTAAATTACTACCAACATTGTACACTTTTTGATTTCCTACTCTTTGCTTGATTTTTCAAAATATTGATTTTGGTCACTTGTGAGTTACTTGTAAATTATAAATTAATGAGTATATTAATAAAGTTTTCACCAACGACAAACCGGTCAGAAATCAAAGTGAAAGCAGGTGCTCATGGGTTTTCAGTCAAGTAGAGGCACAAAGGACAACAAGCTCAATAAAATGCAGAGAAAAAGAAAGCAAAATAAATTGGATATCACCTCCTGCTTTGTAACATCGCATGATTACCAATCGATTTGATAAGCAACTGAATCAGTCCTACTACTTAAAAGGATAAAGCTCTCGGCGTGGATCAATCCCTGAAGGATGCGTCATTCATTCGTCTCATATTCTTTAACTTTGTGAGGTTATTGAGTGCTTATCTGATCTTTACAATGACTCGCGGTGACCTCCCGCTGTGTCGAGCCAGTGCTGCCTATCCTCCAGAAAGGTCTGGGATCAGTTCGGTACCAATTAACCGACCATGAGCACGAGATCGAACCATTGACCTAGTATGCGACGCAGAGCACCTCTAACCAACGCCACATGCGCTCTCCAACTACTTATAGTAATAAAAGTTGAGTTGAAGATGAGATATGTTAGCGATTTGTGTGACAGTTGCAGCTCTTCTTGCTGTCTCCTATGCGGAACTTTTTGTAGATGGCGCAGCTCGTAGTTGAAACTTTGAAAATTGAACCTTTTTAGCAATAATAATATAAAAACGAAGAAATTTTGATACAGAAGGAATACAAGTGACATACTAATCATGAGGTCACTATGTAGGGCAAGACAATACGTGACAGGGTGATTACAAGTGAGAGGGTACATTTGCCTTGACCGATGGAGTAATGTGATGTGTACGTGCAGGCGGAATACTGTAATTACGTTACATGGGGTCATCATTTCGAATTATACATGACCAAAAGTGGTTAAGAGCAAGTACTGACACTGCTAGCTTATGTAAGACAAGAAAACTGGCATGAAGAGCAATTATAGCAAGATTAAGGTGGAATTAAGGCGTCGCTAAATAGAGCAAATAGAACGCAACGTATATTTGTTTTAAGGTTGCTAAAGTAGGGAGTTTCTTTTTCCACCGCATGATGAAGGCAAAAAGAAGATGGGAATTGAGCGAGTACTACTAGGAGGAGCTGAACGATGACTCATGTCGTTATTTATGGAGGAAGTCCATGTGAAAGTGATACAAGAGCTTCTGTGGATAAGATTGTGTGAGTGAGACGATGATTACCCAAGGCGGATTAAGTCAAGTCGCATGGTCAAGGCAAAATTGCGATGCTGTTTTGTCCGGTAGTTATGGAGATTTATTGAGGCAGGACAAGCACACGAGCTTTGTGACTAGCCATTTGAGATGTAATTGATTATATGGCAACAATGAAAAAAGTTGTGAGGATACACGCACAAGAATGATTGAAACTTAGATTGCATTATCTACATAGTAAGAAAAAGTCTTCCAGTGAGGCCTTTCCATGCTATGCAATCAACTCACGAATAAGAAATGATCATATAGTTGAAAATCACTTTTTTAAACATCGCTTAAAACATTCAGTATAGTCGATGAGAATGTTTAGAGTCTTTCCGAGATTGATACGTCATATCACACGCAAGTTTTAGCTTTGTCCCGCCCGCTTCATTAGTAGCCCACGCTCCACACTGAACCCTACTTTATAGCAGGTATGGGAAGACGTTGTTTATGGTTATAGCAAGTTATCATCATTTTTTCAGTCGTAAGATTATGACTGGTAGTGAATAAGTGGAAATCCGTCTTATCGACAGTTTTTAAACCGAAACGTACGTATGGGTCTGAAGTATCTAATTGAGAAAGGCTCTCAACAATATCACAGACTACATTTAATTTTTTTTGGTTTTTTCTGATTAGGAGTGGATAAATGAAAAACGGACCTTATTCGCTGGAGACAAGTTTTCATAGGAGTGTTAGTAACCATTCGAAAGCTGAGATTCCTGGCTACAGCCTTACGCCGCCGACTTTTCAAAACACCCCTTCCATATCGAAGTGATCGTCACACAGAACTAGAGCATATTTCTTCCCGGACAGAGCTCTTTCTTTGGATTATAAGTAATCATTCGATAGTATAATCGACTTTGATTCCAACATTGTACTTATATCCTGAAAAGGCCGCTTCTCTGCAACGCAACAGGTAAAATAAGTTGAATTCGATGCGAGAGAACGGACGATCTAAAGACAATTCACGTGGCGGTAGGTGTGGTGGTCACGTGACTGCTGACGCAATATTCTCTACGCGTTCATAGAACCGTTTACTGTCCTTCGAAGCCTAGCGGCGCTCACGTGAATCGCGCGCAGGACTCCGCTGCTCGCAAGTGCGAAATTGACTTATTTTCAATTGCGTTGCAACTTATTCTACCTGCTGCGTTTTGAAGAAACAGTCTTTTCAGGATATCAGCATAGTGTTGAAGTCAAACTCGATTATGCTATTGAATGATTACTAATAGTCCAAAGAAAGAGCGCTGTCTGGCGAGAATATGCATGTCTGAAGCCGAGAAATCCCCTCCAGTAGCAATGTCAAAAAAAGTCTTTCTCAAAAACCGACGAAGTGAGGTTGTCGCCTCAACTAGCGGCTTTTGAATGATTACAAAAACTCCTATCAAAAGTTCCTCTCCAGCAATACAGTATCGGTTTTTCATCTGTCCCCTCCTAATCAGAAAGAACTTTTTTCTTTTATTTTACAAAATCTATAATTACAATTCATCGTGCGGATCCCATCACTTGTACTCGATTCGTTTCCTCGCTCTCACCCTCCTCAAGGGTCTTCAAATATTACACGCGTCGCTTCGCCTGCTGCCTGATGACTTCGTCTCTTTTTGCAACTCGAACGTAGCTGAGTTAAGGCATTCTCTAAGGCGTTCGCTCGTTTATTGCAATGAGGTGCTAAGGAGGGGTAGAACCAGCACCTTGGTTCTTGATATACCGCATCACTAGCACTGCACCATAAACAATTTGATTTTTTTTTTGTTAATAAAAAGAAAGTTCCACAAAAAGACTGCAAAATTTAATACACAAGTGTCTATAATGATCAAATGATGAGAGGCATTATTGGTGTTGCTGTTGGCCACGTTTTGATAAGAAAGGTCAGCAGTTGAAGGTCACTAGTCAACAATTAACGATTACCCCTTCTATAAGCAGACCAAAGAATTGTTAAATTGAAGACAAATTAGAATGATGCTGTTTTATGTGTACAATCTGGTAAAAGAATCTATTTTCGAGAAGAGATTCCTTTTTCGACCGTAATGTCGCTCATTAGAATCACGAGATCATCAAAAATCAGAGTAAAGATTAATTCAAAAATAAATTGAAGAACTTTGTAGGAGGAATTATCGAAAAGGAGCCTTCAAAATAAATTTCATATATTTCCTATACAAATGTACGGTACTGATGCTATTTTTAGAAATTAACGATCGATCAATAAAAAATGATCGAAAAAGTCTACAGGTCGATTAAACCCTAGAGACCAAAAGAAAACCTTTGTTCCAGGAAGGTAAGTTATAAGAGTTTGAGAAGGACCTGAGATGAGTTGGATCGATACACTGGAAGAATTGATGAGGTACGAGTCGGTGTATGAACTAAATCGCTCACGATTGCAATTCTGGGAAAATTGGCGCGCGACGATGCCGGGAAATCAATGATCGCTAAATTATGCGTACTTAGCATATGAGAGGGAACAATGTGGCAAACGTATCTAGTATAGAATTTGGAAGGTTCACTCGTGTTTTGGATTCCTTTCAATATTAAGTCTTCTCATAACTTTTGGCACTAAAGCTATAAACACCAAATTTTTTGATCAGAAGTGATTAAAACTGCTTAACAACACTATCCACAGCATACGCTACCACTTTGAATACATTTCTGCTATCTCTCAGGTTCGATACCGCTTTGTGCAGAAGTTTCTGAGCTATCTTTTGGTAGCAAATTTGTCGATACTTATTGAATTATGGTCTTTCAACGAAGCCTTTATCCAAAATTTTGTGTTATACGAGCACAAATTGGGACGTGATGCACAGACCGCCTTTGAGAACGTCAACCATGCAAAAGCTCAAAGATTAGTGTCAAGGCGAACAGTGCTTCGGTTGCTTGCTAAGCTACGCGCCGGTAGCACCAACTTGAAGGATCAGCTGCACTCCGGACGTCAATGCGATGTTGATCGAGAGGCTGTCATCGTATTAACAGAATTGAATGTGCTCAGGCTGATGGTGCATAATTCAAATGGCGTTGTTAAGCAATATCAATTACTTCTTCTCAATAATTTTGATGTTTATTGTTCTAGTGTCAAAATTTGTGAGAAGACCAAATAACATAGGACCATCGATCAGTAGGTATCAAAGATTTGAGCGCTATACAAGTCATGGTTCGTCGTCGGGAGCTGAGCCTGCCTTTGAATTATAGCGGCAGCTCGTGTTACCACTAAACCATTGAGGCCATTGCTCTGCTAACACTTTTTCTGCAATAAAGGTATCACAGCTGTCAGCAACGAC